AAAGTTACCGTGGAGCGTGTAAATAAACACTGCCTACAATTCTTCCCATAAAAAACATCTCAATATTAATACCCCCCTCCCCCACCCCTCGCGATTCAATAATTCAGAAAAACCGATAAAAACGAACGGAAGAATTTTCCAGTCCCTCTTTGATCGATGGAGAGCTTTATAACGAAATGTTAGGTCTCTCCAAACGGAATCGCCCCCGACAGACCAATTAGCTCAAGGAGTCATTAACAAAAGATTGAAATGATAGAAATAAAGGAATAGCATCGAGTGCCAGTAGCAGGTGAGCCTCCACTCAATTCCTCCCGTTTTCTTCAACTCTTTTCACTCCCCTGCATCTTGAGAGCCATCAAACGCAGATGGTTTGCTCTGGGTACAGCGTCAAGATATCGAGACGCGGAAGGCCAACGATAAAATCCAGGAATGCTCAGTGGGATGCCCACGAAAACTTTCATTTCTCTTAGCAAATCGCGCGTACGTTGTCTCGGGCTCTTGAGGCTCCTCACACCCGCCCCTCTAACTGCGCCGTGCTATTTGAGAGAGGAGGGGGGAGGGGGATGGGGAGACGTGAGAGAGGGGGGGAGGGAGGGTTGGAACAATATTACCAGAGGAATGGTTTATGATGCTAAAGAAAAGCTATTGCACTCCTCGTTTAAACTCTCTCACTGCCTTGAGAATGCCTCAGGGACATGAAATCCTTTCGTTATGAGTTTTCCTCGCATGGTTATGAGATCACGAGGTTCATCGACCCAGTACAACAGGTTATCACCTCCTTTTGAGGGGAATTGTAGTTGAGGATATCGAGGGGATGAGGAATTCCTGAATTAAGGAGATTGTTCTTCATGCGGAATGGAATAATGCGCTCGGTGGAGAATGTAGTTGTTAATGGTTAAAATTGGAATTGTCTTGGTGAGGATGGAGAAGATGTAGAGAAATACGTTTTAGGGAAGTTTTTGATGGACAATTCAAAAGTGTTCAAAATTTGTTGGTGAAACTTCCGGTGAACTTGTTGGAAATTTTTGGCACATTGGAGTTTCACGGAAATTTCAGGAGAATTCGTCATTGAAAATTTACGATGTAATGAAAAATGAGTGGAAACTGTCAGTTTTAGTTAGTCCACCAAAATTTTGTGAAAATCAGAAAAATTCCGAATATTCATGTTTCGATCAAACGTTCAAATGAGTTGACGGATTCTTGTCTTCCTACTAGGGGAGGATGGGGCAAAACGGCCCCCCTTCAATCGTCAATATTTTCCGATTCAATAATCCGATTGGGATGAGTTAGAGCTAGTTTTGAAGAATGAAAAATTATCTTGAAAATGAAGTTGAAACAGGGAATTTTCACAATGTCATTCACAAGTTATTGACAATTGAAGGGGGGCCGTTTTGCCCCACCCTCCCCTACTAAAGAATTAAAACTTCATTTGATTTCCAATCAAATTTTGAAATTTCACGATCTTTTCCTCCAAAATCGAATTCAATGCCGAATTTCAATTTTTAATCCTCAAATATCTAATCTCTACGTAATTCCCACGTATTTCTCCAGCACAATTTGTATGTAACATTTCTCTCCGTGAATGAACTTCGCTATCCTCACAAGTTTCCAAACCCACGAAGTTCGTGAATTTAAGGACAAAAATCCATAAAATAACGTCTAAATGACAAGATGACAGTCCACCATCTCTGAAGACTGTTTAGCCCTCTCATTCGGGTTTTACTTCTCCCAAGAGTAACACCGATGTTTCCTTTCACCCTGTGGCCCAACCCCATCAACAGGTTTCCCGCATTTTAACCCCCAAAGGACGACCCGCAATCCAGTGTCCGTTTTCACGAGGAAAAACATCGCCTCCTTGTGTTTCGTCGCTTCCTCCCTCTTATCTACTTTCAGTTTCGCCGTTGATCCCCGCTAATTCTCATCATCATCCTTGGGTATTATCTCCGGATACCACAACAGCGACAGTTATAATTCCCAGGACGAAAGGGAATCGTTAGTGTCGTCTTATAGAAACGATGAAAGAGGGCAACCGGGAGGGGGCGGCGGGAGCGAGGCATCAGAGGTGAGGGAATTCCCGAAGGAGTAAACATTAACGAAGAAGTACAACGAGAGAGAACGAGACAGAGAGAAAGAGAGAGAGAGGGCTGGCGTATGGCGGCAGTTGAAGAGACAGCCGGTCGGCCAATAAAAAGGCGCGACGTCGAAATTGTTGAGTTTTTATACAACTCCCGTCACGTGTTATCTTTATGATCTTTTTAGGGGTCTTATTTGTGTTTTTTTTATCGAGTTTTTATAGAGTTCTGTTGTTTTTATGATACCCTTCATGGTGGTGTCTGTGGATCGCATTGATGAGAGCGTATAGCTGAAGGAAATATAATGCCGGACGTGTCCGGTAGAATTACCCCAGGATTATCGCACGGGGAAAGGTCGATGATGAGTAAGATGAGAGTCGTGGAGCCATTTCGATGGGGAATAAAGTGAATAGCTAATAGAATGCTTCGTGTTGATAGGGGAGGATAAATTTTATAAGTGGTCCGCGGTAAACAGGACAGTGTTCTAAATTTTGTGAATGAATTCTCAGATTCAACTGCCCCAATAGCGTGCAACGAGATGAACAAGTTTTGCAGAATAAAATCTTCCGACGATTTTATTGCTAAACTTATCAGTTCGTTGATAGGTAGGAAGACTTGAGAAAAAGTTTGTACAATTTTGGAGAACGAGGGGCGCTCGGTTGAATTATTCCCCCATCTGAATTTCGGAGAATAGAAATGCAGTATTTGACTTGTTTGCGGGTTATAGCCATATTTATACCAGAAGTTTATTTATCTTGAGAAAATTTTAGAATTTTGTGGAAATCGTCATTTGGTGACAGTTCCACTGAAATCTGAAGGAGTTTTGTTATAAAAAAATATGAAATCATTGAAATTTCTGAATAAATTAATTGTATTGATGACAGAATTTTATGAAAAAATGAATAAAGAGTGTAAATTTTAGTTGAATTATAATTATAACTCGGCAGTTCAGTAAATAGACTATTGAATGTTCAATTAATTAAAAATTCAGCGTAATTTGATACTGAATATTCATGTTTTCATTAAAAGTTCAAATAAGTTCGAGAATTCTCGTCTTCTCGCGGCTCAAAAGTTAGGAATTCTATTGAATTTTTAGTAACATTTGGAATTCATCATTTTCATTTGAATAAAACCAAAGGGGTTTTCAAATGCGTTTTTATGCGGGTCAAATAAATAGGTTTTTGAATATGAACAAAGGCTCATTTTATTCTAATAGATGATTCCCGTGGAATGAATGAATCATTTATTATATAATTCAAACATTCCTATTGAAATGAGAATGAGTTGATCAATCTAAAAAAGAAAATTATTGAAATAAACGGGAAAATGCCAAATAAGGAGTTTTAATTGACTCAAATGCGTTATTTTTCTAGATGTGGTGCTGATGTAATTGAGTTGAGATCATGATTGATGATCGTCGAAGATAAAAAATCGTTTGACACTGGTAGCACGTAATGCGATGGGTCGACGAGTGCACGTTCATGTTGCTTTTATGGCACAAGTGTTTGAGCCGGGGTTTTTCGGTACTTGAGAATTCGGAGCACTCTTGCACCCACGCGAGTTAAATTGTGGTTCGTTAGGACATTGTCGCCAATTAGTCGCGGTTACTTCATCATTGTTTGATGAGAAAGTTCTGGGGGGTTCGTGTGGGTGTTGATAGCTCGGTCGGGGATGGTAAGGTAGGGTGGCTTGTTGGGTAACTGGGGGTGGCTGGTTTCGCTCGGGGCCGTTGACGGTTAACTAGAAGTAGTTCACTACCAGTTCTTTACCGCGGGTAAAGAAGATTTTATAGGACAATAATAGGAGGATAGCTGCTATTGGACACTCGTCGGATGTTGGTAAAGAAGAATTTCATTCGTCGTTTCATCTCTCAGAATTCAATTCGCTTGATAAGGGAATTTTTCCGAAACATTAAAATATCAGTATTTTATGATAAATTATTGAACGGAAAAATGTGAAAGGGAAGTTTCTTTTCGAAATTAATTTTCTTCTCTGGAATCAATCAAGAGAAATTTTTGAATTGAATTATTAAAACAATAACGCCTAATTCATTGTACTTCAGTCCCGAAGTGATTCTCAAACTAATTTTTAGAACGATTGATGAGAGTTTTCTATGGTAATACATCCGGTTATTCACTGTTGAAAAAAACAGGAAATTCATGGACAGTTTAGGAGCAATATTCAAAAGAGTGACATTGAATTCAATTTAGGGGGAAAAAATTATGAAATTTCAAATTATACTGAAAATTCAATGGAATTCTGAGTTTTTGAGCAGCCGGAGGACAAAAGTTCCCTAACTTGCCAGAATATTCAATGAAAACATAAATATTCAGAACCAAAGTATTCTGAATTTTCAGTTAATTAACTAATTATTTAATTTTAATGGAAAACTAGAATTTACATTTTTCATTGGTTTTGTTCCATCAAATTGTGGCTTCTCACTAACAAAATTTCAGTGGAAATTGGACATCTTCCAAAATCAAGTCCCTTTGGAATATATTAAGAATTACACATGAAGTTTCACTATTCCATTACTTCCATCAATACACAAAATCTAAATGCTCTTCCTCGAGAGATAAATTCCACCCTTCAACACCAGCAATTCCCATTTGTAACATCCTAACTTTCCAACTTCACCCCATAAACACAAAAGGATACTAAAACCCTCTCCGCGCGTTCCAATTACCCCAAGATTTTCGCAACTGTAAATACTCCAGCATACACAGGTGCTAATTCGTGTCAACACTCTACATCTCCCCGTGCCAAACAAAAGGAGCTGCGTGTACTCACACAGAGTATAAATCCAACATCTTGAGAACAATAAAAAGCCCCGAGGCAGTGGAAACACACTGGTATAGTCAGACAAGACTACGAGCGCATGTTTTTGCCTCTCAGAAAATAAAAAAATTTCCCATAACTTTGACTCACCATATTTTTATCATCTTCTCCGTAGGATACTCAGCGGCAGCATTGCTGGCGATACTCTTCTGCATACCGTTCGCCCTGAGGGTGCTCATCCACAAGGAAACAGGGAGATGGAACAACTGGTCGCAGGCATTCTATCACGCTCATTTGGAGCTCTTCCTCGGGAATGCTTGCCTGGGTAAAATGACAATTAAATCTTGCGATTAGAATATACAAAGAAAAAGATCTAGCAAATTTGAATAGAATAAAACTCTCCATTTAAATTATTTTTCTGTTCATTTCAGTAATATTTTCGTATGAAATTCAGTAGCGAAGTGGTCAAATGGTTCAAGTCGATTTTGGCTATTGGCCAGTTTTCAATGAATATCTCGAAATCTAAGGGAGATAGCAAAATTTTTATCATAACCTCTTTAGTAGTACTCAATTCGCTCAACAAAAAAGGTTATTATGAAAATTTCGCTATCTCCCTTAAATTCCGAAATATTTCTGGAAAACTCAACTAAAGACTGAATTGACTTAAACCGTTTGACCACTTCGCTACGGAATTAATAAACTCGATGTGAAACATTCGCAGAAATGTTGCATTGCTAGCCACGATTTTCTCCATATGTTTCCCTCCCCTTAATCATCAATCCAAACCACAAGTTCGATTATTAATTAACGTTCAATTGCCCCGAAATTAATTGATACTAAATTAACGATCATCAGATGAAATAACAATGATCCCTGCATAATGCAGAGTACCCTCGGGAAATTGTATTGTGGCCGTAAAATGATGATACGTTATTAATCCCCCCACAATGATTAACGAGTCTTTATTAAGTCGATCACATGTGCAACCAGCCATACAGCAATTTATCTCTCTGTACCAAGGGAAAAATTTCTGTCTCTCCAGGTGTCGGTGTTATGATGTTACTCGCACTGACAGTGGAACGCTACGTTAGCGTATGTCATCCAGGTCAACACACCCGTCCGTTATGTGGACCACCCCATCTCACAGTATCGCTCATACCGCTGGCAACTTTTCTGGTTTATCTGCCGAGTGTATTTCGGGGCGAAGTAACAACATGTCTAGTGTCGTCTGGCGGACCTCTTATCTATCAGAAGCGAGACAATTTGTCATTTATGCATTCTGTATTTTACCAGGTGAGTCCTCACAGTGTGAGAGAAATATACGAGTAAAAAGTATGACAAGCTGAGAACAGGATAAGACAGCTTGACTTGTTGTTGAGTTTTTGATGAATGGGTCTGAGGGAGATTGAAGATTTTTGCATTTATAGAAGAAAAACTGGAGGTCTTTTTCCTGGTGTGGAAATTCTCGCTCCCTGTGTTCTGCTATTTTTCCTTTTTCGAAAATTCAAAAAATTTTCCTGACATAAAATTGACGAATCCTGTTTCATCGCATAGAGACGATATGAAGATTTTCCTCCAAAATCAGATAAAAAACTGCTATTTTCGGATATTTAAGGGGAATCTTGATTCGTGAATGGATTTTCAAATTGAAAACATTCTTGTAGTTGAATTGATGAACTTATCCTAAATTTAATCCACCCATAACTCCTTTGTTATTAAAAATATATAATCCGAAATCTTGACTGAATTAACGCCAATCAACACCCAATTAATCCAGAATTTGATTCCTCTCGAGTGTTTCCACTTTCGGAACGAAATGTTTTTCTTGTTAAATTAATTAAAAAAGATCTCGTCCAAATCCCATCCAATCATTCTCTATGACGTCACAAAGATGTGGAACGCTCTATAAATTCCTTTCTTCAATGTGAACGTTTGTGTTCTTAATGTTGTTTAATTTTCTTTTCTAAAAACAAACACGTTAGAACCACGAGTTTTTTCAAATCAATAACTTTATCCTGAAAATTATCAACTTTCTTTTCTCTCTGCACTTCACTATCACACCTGCTCCACCAAATCCACACTAAACTTTCCCCTCAATTTCAGATTTACAAAATAGTTCTGGAGGTAGTATTTAAGGTAGCCCCAACGATATTGCTAGCTGGCTTCAATCTCCGCATCATGATAGTGTACAGAAGATCATGTGAGAGAAGACGCAGAATGACTCTGTCACGTACAGTGAGCAGTGGTGACGAGGATCCACGTACATTTGCTGAGGAGCGTCGTCTAGTTCTTCTGCTGAGTAGTACGAGTATACTCTTTCTCGTTTGCGTCAGCCCAATGGTCATCCTGAACGTGACACTGAGCGAGAGCAATTTGAGCCTGTATCCTTACCAGGTAATGTCCCCCATTCAGCCATTACCTCAGCCAGTTACACGAGGGGATTATGTTGTACTTAGTGTCACTTGAGGAATATCAATAAATAGAGGGACTCGCGCACTTGATACCCTCCCCAAAGGATTCAACCGACATCCCCTCGACGACTTCAATACCCACTGAATTCCAGTACACTGGGAAAAAAATTTATTTTTGCCAAATGTCCATTTACTTGAGAGAACTATTTATTTTTTCAATACCGTATTTCTCCGTTTGAGTCATTCTCAGGCAATTCTCATTGGGTTTAAATTATGCCGATTATTTTGTTCTGGAAGATGATCATGTTAGTTATGACATTGAGTGAACTCCTTTAATAATTATCAACATTAAAAAATTGATCGAAATTCTTCCCTCTAGAAAATTAGAAATTTATGAAAAATCAATAATCATTGGAGGTGTTCAGCCAAGGTCATGCGCAACATAGTCTTTCTCTAGAGCAACGTGATTGTTGTAATTGAAATCTAGTCAAGCTCCCCTGGGAATGACTCGATTGGAGAAATACGATTTTGAAAAAATAAATGCTTTTCTCGAGTAAATGAATGTTTGGCAAAAATCATTTTCTTTCTCAGTGCAAGATGAAGATGGTGGTAGAAGATATTTTCCCTGGACAGAATTTCCCGGACAAAATTTCCCTGGACACAATTTCCTTTTTGAATATATGGACAGAGGAAAGACATAAAAAAATTATCACATAGCAGTTTTGCAAGAAAATTACAGTCTTTAATAAACAATATGAATTCACACCGAAAAACACCAAGAAAAAAGAAATGACGAGAGCCAAAACAATCACTTCCAATATTTTGAGGCGTAATAAAGATACTGTAATTTTAATTTATATTAGCAAGTTGAATCTTAACTTGTATACAGTGACGGTGTGTCTAACTTTCCTCGTGCCGGTTATACGAGCGCGACATCAAAAGAAATTCTGTCTGTCGAATTTTTGTCCGGGGGATTTTTTTTCGGAGAAATTTTGTGCGGGAAATTCTGTCCGAGAAATTCGGTCTCGGGGAAAAGGTTCCTAGAACCGATGGAGATTATATTTTTTTTGTTCTGTCTTCTCAGGTGTTTCGCGCCCTAGCCAATCTTCTGGAGATCATAAACTACTCGATAACGTTCTACATATACTGCCTATTTTCGGAGGACTTTCGTAACACCCTGATACGTACGTTACAATGGCCATGGGGCAAATCCGGTAGGAACAGTAGGCGGATGCCAATGAAGAGATCACCCATACCAAGGCCAACAACCACAACCACACCACCTACAACTGCTGCCGCAACACCTGGTCATGTAGCACGTGCCAGTGTGTGATTACAAAATGTTCAACGAGTTTTAACGGATCAATGAACATTATTTACGCGGTTTTTATTAAGCCTCAACGTGTAATGTTAGACATAAACGTACCTGTTTTAATTTATACATCTTCATGAGAAATAAAGTGTTCAGAGATGAACTGGGAAATTTCAATTTTTTTAACAGTTTACACTGTCGTACACTTTTCAACTTTTTAGTTGACTTATTGGAAATTTTTACCAAGTGATAAATCCGATGAAGTTTACATTCACGAACATTCAGGTAACTATATTTTTGGATTTTCAATTCATTTAAAAATAAACTCAATTTCGTACTGAATGTTGCAATTGAAATGGAATTGGAAATAGAAGTGGAAAAACGCAATTCTGAGCCGTCCATCTGCCTATACGGAACC